GCCTTTTCTCCGCATCCTACACTTCTGACTTCTGACTCCAGGCCCTACAGTAAATCATTTCAATGATCCAAGTCCTGAGCCCAAACTTGCGCCCAAATCCCAAACTTTACGACCCAAAGCCCAAGCCCTAAGTGACACACTGAACCTTAAACCTGAAAGCCCAAGCCGCAAGCAAACCCTTCGAGGCATCACTCAATGCCTACGTTGACATGGCACCGCGCTGCAGCTCGGCTTCCCTCGTTTGACGGAGAAGCTAGAACTCCCCACAGCCTAGAATCATCCCCAGATCTCTTTGAGCAAACTTTCCTGAAGTCCCCCCACTCCCTCAGAAAGGAGTGCTCAACGAGTCTTTTGTTAGCCTCTCAGGCCACCTAAATGTGGTGCCAGCGCAGCCTCTGATGGACCTCTTCCTCGCGCAGGCTCCAGCTTCCAGGGGCCAGACCTGACAGAAGAATGGCCTTTGAGCGCTAAACCCCTCACTTGAGAACTTACTCGTAGCAGCAGAAAGACCTGACAGAAGAAAGACTTTTGAGCGCTCCACCCAAAATTGGGAAGGCCTGCTTATCTCGCGCTGTTCTTGAACCCAAGCAACTCCAGATCTGAGCCCTACCAAGCCCCTCTAGACGGGATCTCGTCTGGGAGGAGGGAGACGTCCACCGGAAGTGCTTCGGACCTCGCATCTTGAAGCAGTTCCAGGCCGAAGCCGTTTGTTTTTTTTTTTTTTTTTTNNTTTCTGGGATTTCTGGGATTTCTGGGTCTGCGCATGCAGTGGCTTCATGTCCTCAGCCTCTGTCGTCGGTTACGTCAGGCTATGAAGGAGATCCTTCTGGCAGGAGCCGCTAGGCGGAACCTCACAGGGCTCCGGTCGGCTGCGCTTCGGGGATTCCTTTGACCTCCGCGCATAGCTCGCTCGCTTCTACCTGAGTCGCGAATACAGGAGTTTCTATAGAAGACTGGCAGATGCTAGCACCGTGCAGGTAGTTTCTGTGCAAGTTGTTTGAGCCCAAGGAGCATTTTCTGGTTTTCAGGGGGTTTGATGATTCGCCGCTGGCCTCAGCACCTGACGGTGTCCGAGGACACAAACCGGCTTGTTGCTGAGTTGACCTTTGTACGGATTAACGATCTGGCGGCTCCACCGGAGCCGATGAACCTCCTCTTGTGCTTGCCTCAGATTATGTCAGATTGCTCATCTGAGCAATTTGCTACGTCTTGCAGTGAGGTGCTTAGAGCCATTGGTGGCCATCGTCATCATCGCTAATGGCGTCATGTGCCTGGATCCAATCTAACATGTCCCAAGCGATGCTCACCGCCGGGGGATTCCGTGGGCCATCTCAGGATTGGTTTTCAAACGCACCCGTCGTGGGAATCATGGCCGTACTGGATCATCGCAGCTCCGGCTGCACGTTGGGTTGTACGACGTGCGTGGCTCGTTTGACTCCATGATGTCATTCCAGCAAGTTGTGATGGCGAGCATGCCCACATAAGGTGGAGGCAATCTTTGCGAGCTTTTTGGTGATGGAGATTGCTTTGCGCATGCATCTTCAAGGCAGGTTTCAATGCGATTCTTGTGCATCAGAAGCTAGCCACGACTCAAGGAACACACTTGGCAGATGCGTGTCACCACTGTTTTTTCCTTGGAGCTATTGTTAGTACTCGTGCTATACATGAGTTTTCGGCGATTCCTGCAGAAGTGATCACCATGCTGGCAGTATGAGTAGCATCATGAATCATGACTGTTATGCTGTCCCGCTGCTGCCAGTACTGCGTTGCTACTGCTGCTAATGCTGCTGTAGGTAGTCTTATCGTGCCAATGCTTCCGCATGTTGCACGGAGGCTGTTCTTGGCGGTAGCTGCCGCTCCGTACTAATTGCGGCTTATACAGGACATCGCAAACATCAGCACTAACAGCGTTGATACTGTTTGTCGTTACAGCAACAATGGGAGCGTGTAACGAATAGAACGAGCCATGGTGCCAACATCAACTTGCGAGAGGTGTCGCTTGATTTAGCGGCATTTTGCCGCTGAGACCAGCAGATTTTGCCTGGCTGTGGGGACTGCTTGCACTTTTTCCCCCGTGCGAGGTCGCCGAAGCTTCTTCAGAGGAGCTGAGCTGCAGCATCCTGGCCTGCACAGGGTGGGTGGCTTTCTGAGTTCCCTGATTCTAGTGCATTGTGAAACAGTCAGGAACTTGAAAGGAACCGAAGATCAGTGTTCACATCCCACCATCGATGCGGGCACACGTCGCTGCACTTGGTTGTGCAAGGTTTGCCGCCCAATTCTGATACATCATACCGCACCCTGCAACACGGCACTCTCCGCTGTGCTTCCTCAGTCTAGGCTTGACTGTGTCGGCGGATCCGCCTGGACTGCCGTACCCCTAAGCCCTAAGCCCTAAACATTGCCCTCCGCAGTCCGACTCTCGTTCAAAACGTAAACAAAGCCTCGGCCCTCGGCTGTGTTGGGAGTCCAGAGAGAATCTGTAGCTGAAGCGGTGTGACTCTCGCCGTGATGAGCGACGGGCATCTGTACGCGTCGGAGTTGCAGAGACTGCGTCGCAGTGCTGTCACGAAGCTTTCGATGACCTGGAAATTGATTTCAACGATCGCAGTTCTTCGCGGTGAAAGGAAGCGCGAGCACGGACGCAAGCCATTGAGCAACAAGAACCAACGATGACAACTGTCGGCCAGGTCGCGTAGGTGATGTACTAGTCTGTTGCCAGGGTCCCGCGGGCGCGGGGTGCGAGGGGACTCCTCTTCGTTCCGATATCAGTCTCAGTCTCAGTCTCTTTCTCTCCCTCTCTGTTTTCCTTCTGTCTTTTCCCGAGCACTCTGAAAACCCCTGCTCGGGCTGGCAGCTTTGACTTGTGGGCTTTTGAGTTCCTCCTCATCGGAGCGTTCGTGTAGGGCACGTTTTGGTTTTGTATCCACTTTCAGAGGGGTGGCCACAATTCACTCTGCCTCTTGCAGATGTCAAATGTATCTCGGCAGAGGTGGAACCTTTTTGACGTATTCCTGGGCGTGACGGGTGTCACAGACGTGATCATCCAGCTGGCCAGGGACAGCACCAACGATCCTTGGTGGCACAAGGATTTACTTCTCCGGTGCGTAGGTCGCAATTTTCCGCAGCAGCAGCAGGAGGAGGAGGAGGAGTAGTAGTGGTAGTGGTAGTGGTGCTGGTAGTGGTAGTGGTAGTGGTAGTGGTAGTGGTAGTGGTGGTAGTAGTAGTAGTAGTAGTAGTGGTGCAGCGGTAGCGGTAGCGGTAGCAGTAGCGGTAGCGGTAGCGGTAGCAGTAGCAGTAGCGATAGTAGCAGCAGTAGCGGTAGTAGCAGTAGTAGCAGTCGTAGTGGTGGTGGTGGTG